TGAGTGGTCCAAGTTTTAAAAGGAGTTTGAAATTTTGTTAGAGAAATTGAATCTTGCGGAACTTGATATAGATATTTATAAGTTAGAAGTTTCTGTCTCTAATAAAAATTTGGAATGTTTACCACTTTTAAGGAATGTTCAGTTGGTACTGTTACTTTTGGTGATGGTAAAATGTTTACTGTAAATGGTAAAGGTAAGATCAAATTTCCAAGAATTGGGGAGTTAAAAAATGTTCTATATGTTAAAGGTTTAGCTGTTAATCTGTTGAGTATTAGTCAAATTTGTGATGAGGAGTTTCAAGTGAATTTTACTCAACAAATGTGTTTTGTAACTAATGAAAAAGGCGAATGCATTTTGAAAGGAACTAGAATTTCTGATAATTGCTATGTTGTGTTTTTAGATCCTTCACTTATGTGTTTTTTTTGCAGTTACTGATGAGGCTATTTTACGGCATAAAAGACTTAGACATGTGAATTATAATGATTTAGTGACTTTGTCTAACAATGATCTTGTTCGAGGTTTGCCTAAATTGAAGATGCCTAAGAATGAAATATGTGGTCCATGTCAGTTTAGAAAACAAATTAAAGTGTCACATAAGAGACTTATTCATAAAGTCACTTCTCGACCTTTAGAATTGATTTATATAGATTTGATGGGTCGCATAACACCTGATAGCATTGGAGAAAAAAGATATATGCTTGTTATAGTTGATGATTTTTCTATGTTTACTTTTGTTGCATATTTGAGAGAAAAATCTAATACTTTTGTGAATTTCAGGTCTATTTACCAATTTATTCAAAATGAGAAAGGATATCGAATTAATCGGATTAGGAGCGACAATGGAGGTGAATTCGAACCTAAGGAGTTTATTGAATATTGTGATAAGAATGACATTAAGCATGAATTTTCAGTACCTAAAACTCTACAATAGAATGGTGCAGTGGAAAGGAAAAATAGGACAATTGCAGGTATGGCTCGTACTATGCTTCAGGAAAATAAGATTGCTAGTCACTTTTGGGCTGAATCGGTACGTACTGCTTGTTATATCCTAAATAGAGTTTATCTTAGGCTTGGAACTAACAAGACTTCATATGAATTGTGGTATGATAGAAAGCCCACTGTTAAATACTTTAGAGTCTTTGGAAGTAAATGTTATATCCTTAGAGATATGGAACACTTAGGAAAATTTGACTCCCGAAGTGATGAAGGTGTGTTTTTAGGTTATTCACAAACCAGTCGGGCTTATAGGGTTTTTAATCTTAGAACCAAAGTGGTCATGGAGTCTATAAATGTGGTTTTTGATGATACAAAATCTAAGATAACCTCTTCTCAACTTGATGAAGAAGAAACTAATTTTGAAATTATAGGAGAGAGGAAAGAACCTGCAATTCAGGAAGAAGAAAGAGTTAAGGATAAAAGTGGAGGAAGTGAAGAGGGTGAAGAAGATGGAGATGAGGAATTAGAGGTTACCACTGATGAACCTATAGGAATTCCTGCACCATCTCTAGATGTTCCCACATCTAGCAGTTTTAGAGTTAGATTGAGTCACCCAATTGACAATGTGATAGGTCTATGGGATAAGCATGGTACTAGAAGTACAATCCGTGATGATGTAAAACACTCATGCTGAGACATTTCCAATTTTCGGCATTTTTCATTTTTCTGGAATTTTGTTGATGCAAGGGTATTTTTATCTTTTCACGTCTTGAGTGCGGGATTTTGGTTGGGTCCATTTGCATCATTTTTATTCTTCTTTATTGAGTTTTATGTAGTTGTAAATTTAATGTGTAAACATGTTTATGTGTGGTGTAGAAATTAAGCCAGAAGAAAAAGAGAAAATAAAAAGAAAGTGGTAGGGCCCACCACTTATGCTTATTTGAGGCTTAGAGACCATTTTGGTCTCTCACTTTCTCTCTCCCCGCAATCCCTCTTTTCCTCCTTCATTTCTTCTTTTTTCTTTTTCCTTTTGATTTGCAAGCTTCAAATCTTGATTGCAACTTCAATAATTGGAATTTTGGAGTGCCGTTTGAGGTAAAACAGAGAGCATGACGAGCTCTACGCGTGAGTACCAACAATTTCAAATTTGGTGCTCTGTTTGGATTTCGAATTTGGGGACCCAATTTAAGGGTTTTGCATCAATTTGAGGTAAGGGTTCTTAATTCATGTTTTCTTGCTCCTTGGTGAATTATATCTCATAAATTGTTGTAAAGCATGTTTGTTATGAATTAATTGTTCTAAAGATGATGTAAATGTTACATGTGAATTGATTGTTATGTGAATTGTATGAGATCATGCATGTTTGGTTAATTCCTTTGTCTAATAGTTGATCTCCCATACCTATATTGTTATAGAACTTGCTAGAAATGAGACATGAAGGTATGTGTAATTTCTCTAGAATACTCGTGGAATATGCTCTATTGTGTAGTATGAAAACCTTTATATCCATGACATTAAGAACATGAGATGTACATGCATATCATGGGACATGAATGGTGAGAATTGTTTTGAAATGAAAAGGGGCAGTTTTAGGGAAAATGTTTCGATAATTTGGTTTTGTGAAAACTCGATCGCTGCGGGGGTACCAAAGGGATGGAGGGTTAACATAGCCTAGAGGGACTAGGGAGATTACTTTAGCGTGGTTGAGCTAGCTGGCCCAAAATGATGCCGCGAGGATACCAAGGGTCAAGGATACTAGCCAATCCTTCTTTCATGTCGCTACGGGGTCACAAAAGGGCAGGTTATATTAACCATTTGAAAGTGATGGTTTTTAGAATGAAAATGGGGAGCAACATTGGCATGCATTGCATTTCATGGCATTGCATTGGTTATATTGAGATTTGTTATTATGTTGTGTATTCCCGACATGATATGACCTCATTTCCTATTACTCTATTCTTTGTATGGATTCACGGGGACGCAAGAGGCGTGTCTTAAGTGCCACCAGCTGAGCTTTTGCTCACCCCACTATATTTATCATTTTTCAGGACTAAGGGAACTTGAAGAGCATTTTGAATGTACTTTTGTTGAACTTGAAACTCATTTGTAAAGCATATTAGAAGAAATGCACTAAGTTCATTTTGTATGTAAATGGAAATGTAACTGGAAGTTTGAACTCACTTTGATGTACATTATCTATGATGTAAAGTCTATATTTTAAACTTATGTGTTTGACTCTAAATAATGATTATTGTAATCACGGGTTGGTGTTTTCGTAGCGCGATTCTTAATTGACGATTTAATTCAAGTACAAACCATTACAAAGTCTCCATTCTATTTCCCCTTCATTTCTTAAGTGCAGCACTTTAGTTTCAAGATGCAGGGCTCGATGAAGCCATTTCGGTCGACAGAAATAGTGCATCGGTTGACCGAACCCCTCTTTTAACTCTCAGGATCTCCATTTCGGTTGACCAAAATAGGGTTCAGTCGATCGAACCTTCCTCATGCTCTCAGGATCTCTGCTTTGGTCAACCGAAGGGGTGTTTCGGTCGACCAATTTGGAGGGGCTTGCTTTGGCAGACCGAAGCTCCACTTCGGTCGACCGAAGTGAGTCTGTTTGGTCCAGTTGTTCTCTCTTCGTCAGTGTATCTATCTCTCGAATCTTAAGAATTTGTTTTGAACTTCGTAAAAGCCTAGTGATGACCTAGAGATGATTCTAAGGGTGAAGTTGTTGTACTTGAAACGATGTGTTTGACGTAGATGACCTCGGGTTCAAGTAAGGACCCGGCTAACGGTTCGGACCTCCGGGTTCGGGTCGTTACAATGTTGGTATTAGAGCCTTGGCTTGAAAACCTTTAGTATGACGGGTAGAGGCCTATATAGGGTTGCATGGGATGTTGTTGCATTGTTTATGTGATTGCTTGCTACTTGTTACTTGCTTATTATTTGAAGAAACATGCTTAACTGCTTATGTGCATACATGCTTAAATGTTTATGTTAAAATGATTCTTGTATAGTTGTACATGCTAAGTGTGGTTATGGCATCATTCCATGTTGAGTCATCCAAGGTGAACCTTAGTGTCTTGTCATTGAACCGTTTTCTCGTTTTATAGCACGATGTCACGACATGAGGAAACTAGGGAAGTTGGCCCTAGGCCGACTAGGGGTGATGTTGGCGAGAGCTCCAGCTCCAATCCAGAGGAGCTAAATGATGAGGACACACTTCTTAGGGACTTGATTCCCCCAAGAGTTATTCCTACAAGGAGGGATAATGTTGAAGCACCCGTAGAAGTGGGTGAAGGTTCCGTGACACTGAAGTTGAATCATTTGTTACAAAGTGCCGTGAGGGCAACGATTACTGCTCAGTTGCAGTCGACACCACAACCTACAGTTCAAGTTGAGGATATGCTAGCTCAGAAGTGTCTCAAGATCATTAAGGGGTTTTCACAGTTGATGCCGGTTATGTTTGAGGGCGGTGCAGATCCAATGGTAGTAGACGACTACATGGATCAAGTTAAAATTCAGTTGACCTCAATGGATGTGACAGAGGATCAATTGAAGATCATCCTAGCAACTTACAAGTTTGCTAAGGATGCTAAGCTCTGGTTGAAGTCAGTTACGAATCGACATAAGGTAGAGGAAATGAGCTGGGATAAGTTCAAGGAACTAGTCTATGAAAAGTATTTTTTGATTTCTAAAAGATGAGAGTTGAAAGACCAATTTCTTGGCCTTATCCAAGGTAACATGTCAGTAGCGGAATATGAGAACAAATTCACTTCACTTTCTTACTTTGCTCCGGAAATGGTGAGAGATGAAGTTGACAAGACTCGGAAGTTTGTTTCTAGTCTTCATGACAGGATGAGGCCGTTGATAACGGCATAGTTCATTATGGTTTATTCTGAAGCAGTAGAGAGGGCTTTGATGCTTGAGGTTGATATCAAAGATAAGGATGCAAGAAGAGAACAGTGGAAACAAAAGAGCAAGGCCATCTTCAGAAGGATCTTCTTGGAAGAAGAACAAGGGTGGTTCATTTCAGTTTCAGGGGCAACAGTAATCTTCCTCAATCTACGTGATTTTCTTGATCTGTTAATTCTTAAATCTGATGTTTTTAAGTATAATTGTTAAAGATACATATGAATTAGCTTAATGAATTTGCATAAATCACACTTTATCATTATTTTTCAAATGAAAGTGGATTCATGAGGGAACTGAACCCTTCGATGTCGATAATGATAAAGACAGGTTCTTACTATTTTTTTGTTTTTTGTTTTGTTTTGTTTTGTTTTTGTTTTTTTTTTTTTTTTTTTTTCCCTCTTCTTTTCTTACTTCTTGGCAGTACAAAATAGATTGGTTCTAACAGATGATCAGTAATATGTTTATTTATTTATTTTACATTAGGCGGTATTACAAGAAACTAGGCGACCATAACTATGAGTATTACATGAAACTAGGCGACCATAACTATGAGTATCACTGGCCGGTCATGACTCAGAGTAACTCCAATTACTACTACTTCTCATTCGGTCTCATCGAGTTGGTTCGACTGATTCCAGTTTAGTTTATTTAGCTTGGAAAATATCCCTATGACAGTACGTAGTTATTTAGGTAGATACCGTAGATGTTCCATTAACATTTAAACAAACTGACCTATATAACCACTTCTAATTGTTCTGATTTCTTGTCATCTGCTGCAACAATGGAATGCTACCTTCCATACAAGCTCCTCGCTCTTTTCCTTCTCCTTTCAACTGCTTTGTCAGCTTCAATGGTGGATGATCGTGCGACCTACATCATCCACATGGACAAATCAACTATGCCCACTCCCTTCTCAGATCATGATAATTGGTACACGTCGATGCTTTCATCTCTGTCAACGTCTGATTATGGCGTTTCACCAACCCATCTCTACACCTACAACCATGTGTTGGACGGATTCAGTGCAGTGCTATCTCTGTGTATATCTGTATTTTTCAATTGGTTTCTTCAATTCATCACAAATTTAAATGCCAACTACACCAGTATTTGCTAAATTTCTATGAATTTTCTAAAATATTTAAGATGCCTTTCCTCACAATAGAAACTAGGCAATCAAACCAAAATTATAAAAGTGAATGATAAGTTAGCATCCCCATCATATTTTTGTTCTCAAAATTTCATGCTCTGGTTGAAATTCTCTAGAAACTTTCTTTCTTTCTTTTTTTTTTTTTTTTTTGGGGGGGGGGGCTACATTACGGTGTTCTAAACCTTATTTGAGTCGGGTTAATTGATATAAATACACCATCACTTGCAAATCATGTGCATCACGAATTCCATTATGACACTTTTTTAATTTATGCCAAATTTATTGATGCAGGTTTGCTTGACAAGCGTGTTCTTTATGTGAGTGAAATGTTGGTATAATTGATGCTATCAGATTGAAGATTATCAATCGAGTGAATGGTAATCAACCACCAACTTACACAGGCACACACACATGTAAATCTACTTGATATGACCCTAGTTCATTTAGTTAATCTATTTTTATGATGTTGAGTAACTTGGTGGAAGCTCGCCCGCACATGTGATCAAAAGGTGGATGATCGACCACCCACCCAATTGAACTTCTCTTCATATTTTCCTTGTGTGTCTTGAGAGTGGTAACAGTATTCCAGCCAGTGTATGTGTGTGTGGGCTACATATGTTTATGATTCCATAGTTGTCTTCTGTTTAAGTCATTTTAGGGAGAATCGATGTACTTTGTGGCTGTAATTGACTTAGTGAATGTGTCACCTACACTAGTGGTTGGGAAGAAATGCTAATTAACGGGAAGTGGGAGGGAGTGTTGAGATAAAATTTAGAATTAGTATTTGTAATTATTTTACATAAAGTGTTTGCCCTTATATTCGAATTTGTTCTTTTGTGTTTGTCAATTTAATTTATTACCGTTGTCCCAAGATATATGATAATGTAAAGAGTTCCGGAAAATACCAAAAATTTACTTATGATACATTTAATGAGGCTTCAAATAGGTCTTATGGTGGCGCTTAATCAGACAAGGTTTTTATGGTGCTTTGGCGCGTAAAATAAAATCATCCCACTAGTGAGCTCCACCCCTTTGATAACATGGATTCTTATTTCTCAATAATATCCGGTGAAATTATGGTTGCTCATGGTTAGTCCTGCTTCGCGTGAGCTGTTTGGTTATTTTTATTCCTCATCAGATCATCTCTCCACTTGTGTTGGTGGTAAATTCATTCTTCCTTGATCTATGTGATTTTCTTGGTCATTTTTAAATATGATGTTTCTAAGAGTAACTGTTAAAGATACATGGAGGTGAATGAAGTTTGCAGAAATTACACCTTACTAATATATTTCAAATGGAAGTCAATTCATGAGGGCATATGCTGTTGGAGGAGGACTGGACCCTTTGATGTCAAGAATGATAAAGACTAGATATCGATAACTTCTTGCTCTTGTAACCATTCTGCACCAAACATCTCCTTATCCTTTCCCTCTGTCACGTGGCTCAAAATGTAATGTATGGTGTAAAATGTCCCTGCGATAATATTTTTTTAGCTTGGAAAATGTCTCGTTAACGTGTATACAAACTCTGTTACATAAGCACTTTGTAATTGTTCTGATTTCTAGTGAACTGCAGACACAACACTGCAACAATGGAATGCTATCTTCCATACAAGGTCATCTCTCTCTTCCTTCTCCTTTCAACTGCTTTGTCAGCTTCGATAGGGGATGATCGTGGGACCTACATCATCCACATGGACAAATCAGCTATGCCCACTCCCTTCTCAGATCATGATAATTGGTACACGTCGATGCTTTCGTCCCTGTCATCGTCCGATCATGGCGTTTTCCCAACCCATCTCTACACCTACAACCATGTGTTGGATGGTTTCAGTGCAGTGCTATCTCGGTCTCAACTAGATCAGTTAGAGAAGATGCCTGGCCATATTGCCACATACCCTGAGACCTCTGGAAAGCTTCACACTACACATACACCAGAGTTTCTTGGCCTGAAAAAGAGTGCTGGCTTGTGGCCTCAAGCCAATTTTGGTGATGACATGATTATTGGTATAATCGACAGTGGCATCTGGCCAGAAAGTGAGAGTTTCAGAGATGATGGCATGACCCCGGTGCCAGAGAGATGGCGCGGGACATGTGAGTCGGGAGTTAAATTCAACTCTTCTTATTGTAACAAAAAACTCATTGGAGCTCGCTCTTTCAGTAAAGGGATGAAGCAACAAGGGCTAAACATATCAAGAACTGATGACTACGACTCTCCGAGGGACTTCTTTGGACATGGGACTCACACATCGTCAACTGCTGCTGGGAGCCCAGTACAAGGTGCCAATTACTTTGGTTATGCAGAAGGAACAGCAACTGGGGTTGCACCAAAAGCCCGGCTTGCCATGTACAAGGTTGGATTCCTCAACAGCACCTTCAAGTCTTTTGCCACTGACACTTTAGCCGGCATGGACCAAGCCATAGCTGATGGAGTAGATCTCATGTCATTATCATTGGGATTCAGAGAGACGCCTTTTGATGAAAACACTATTGCAGTGGGAGCTTTTGCAGCCATGGAGAAAGGGATTTTTGTTGTTTGTTCAGCTGGCAACAGTGGTCCTGATGGTTTCACTATACTCAATGGAGCTCCTTGGATCACAACTGTTGGTGCTGGGACAATCGATCGCGATTATGCAGCTAAGGTGACGCTTGGTGATGAGGTCCTCACTGTTAGTGGAAAATCTGTCTACCCATTAGACTTGTTAGTGTCTCGCGATCCAATATACTTTGGCCAAGGGAATAGAAGCAAAGAACTCTGCGAAGACTATGCTCTTGACCCAAAAGATGTTGCAGGGAAGTTTGTATTTTGTGACTTCATCAATGAAAGTGCAGCAGTCAATGTGTTTGAAATAGAAAGGTCAGGAGCTGCTGGTGCAATCTTTAGTACTGCCTTCCAAAACTTTCTTCGGCCACGCGATTTCAATTTGCCATATGTGGCAGTAACCCAAAAACACGGAGATTTGATCAAAGACTACCTAATCAAGACGGAGAATGCAACTGTTAGCATCAAGTTCAAGATAACAGTGTTGGGTACCAAGCCTGCCCCTATTGTGGCGTGGTTCTCATCACGAGGGCCAGATCGCATGTCTCCATGGATACTAAAGCCTGATATTTTAGCTCCTGGGGTTGATATTTTAGCTGCATGGGTACCCAATAGAGGAGCTGCACCTATAGGAGACGACTATTTGCTTAGCGATTTTAAACTCCTCTCTGGCACTTCTATGGCTTCTCCCCATGCAGTTGGTGTAGCGGCGCTTCTAAAAACGCTCCACAAGGACTGGAGCCCAGCTGCCATCCGATCAGCCATGATGACTACCGCTTATGTGATTGATAATGCCAATGGCCCCATCATTGACATGACCACTGGAGTTGCTGGGACTCCACTTGATTATGGGGCAGGACATATTAACCCTGAAAAGGCCATGGATCCTGGTCTTGTTTATGATATAGAGGTTCAGGATTATATCAATTACTTGTGTGGAATGAACTACACGAGCAAACAGATTAAGATCATCACCAAAAGGTCGAATTTCAGCTGTGATCAAGCCAGTCTTGACCTTAATTATCCATCTTTTATTGTTATCCTCAACGACACCAACACTATGAGTTACACCTTTAACCGGGTATTAACAAATGTTGTAGATAGTTCCTCTACTTATCGTGCAGTGGTGAAGGTTCCGTCAGGGATGGAAGTGGTTGTGCAGCCCCTGGTGGTATCCTTTGCTGGAAAGTACAGCAAAGCCGAGTTCAGTATAACGATAAAAGTGACTGTTGAAGATGCTAATCCACAGAGTGATTCCCTAGTGAATTATGGGTATTTAAGCTGGAATGATGTTAACGGGACTCGTATGGTGAGAAGTCCTATTGTTGCTGCCTATGCACCTTAAGTAAGTGGTACATATTGCTGATTGAACGTTTGTATGGGTATTTCTGAAATAATGTTAAGGACACTCATGTCCACATAATTGTTTATTTAAGAGGTATATATAATCAATTATTGTTCCAAGACCTATTAGCCATGTGTCAAATTGCTATTTGTGGGTATTTTATTCTAGTGTTGTGGAATTTTGAGTGGTAGACAACCATTTATCCTCCACACCTACTAGCCATATTGAGAGAAACTTCTCTTGTTTTGGTTGGAGAGGTCAGTTGTCAGAATATGTTATGTGTGTGTGTGTGTGTGTGTGTATGTAGAAATTCTTTTCGTGGTTATGAAGAAACATGCTTTATATATATGTATGTATGTATACATGAGTTCAGAAATTCTTGTGGTTATGAAGAACCATACTTCAACCAAGGATTTTGTTTTCTATGCTACTATATGTGTATGCATGGCTGTTGATTAAGACATCTGTCCCGGATTAGAAGAATTATTCATCATTATCGATCACACACCATGTCAATTGGTCCCAACATTATCTCAGCATCACCATCTTCATCATTAAATTATTGGACATTTACTTCGTAAATGTATCACTAGCGGCTGGGAAGAAATGCTAATTAACGGGAAGTGGGAGGGAGTGTTGAGATAAAATTTAGAATTTGTATCTGTAATTATTTTGCATAAAGTGATTGTTTTTATATTCGAATTTATTCTTTCATGCTTGTCAATTTAATTTATTACCGTTGTCCCAAGATAATATGATAATGTAAAATGTCCCTGCGATAATATTTTTTTAGCTTGGAAAATGTCTCGATAACGTGTATACAAACTCAGTTACATAAGCACTCTGTAATTGTTCTGATTTCTAGTGAACTGCAGACACAACACTGCAACAATGGAATGCTATCTTCCATACAAGGTCATCTCTCTCTTCCTTCTCCTTTCAACTGCTTTGTCAGCTTCGATAGGGGATGATCGTGGGACCTACATCATCCACATGGACAAATCAGCTATGCCCACTCCCTTCTCAGATCATGATAATTGGTACACGTCGATGCTTTCGTCCCTGTCATCGTCCGATCATGGCGTTTTCCCAACCCATCTCTACACCTACAACCATGTGTTGGATGGCTTCAGTGCAGTGCTATCTCGGTCTCAACTAGATCAGTTAGAGAAGATGCCTGGCCATATTGCCACATACCCTGAGACCTCTGGAAAGCTTCACACTACACATACACCAGAGTTTCTTGGCCTGAAAAAGAGTGCTGGCTTGTGGCCTCAAGCCAATTTTGGTGATGACATGATTATTGGTATAATCGACAGTGGCATCTGGCCAGAAAGTGAGAGTTTCAGAGATGATGGCATGACCCCGGTGCCAGAGAGATGGCGCGGGACATGTGAGTCGGGAGTTAAATTCAACTCTTCTTATTGTAACAAAAAACTCATTGGAGCTCGCTCTTTCAGTAAAGGGATGAAGCAACAAGGGCTAAACATATCAAGAACTGATGACTACGACTCTCCGAGGGACTTCTTTGGACATGGGACTCACACATCGTCAACTGCTGCTGGGAGCCCAGTACAAGGTGCCAATTACTTTGGTTATGCAGAAGGAACAGCAACTGGGGTTGCACCAAAAGCCCGGCTTGCCATGTACAAGGTTGGATTCCTCAACAGCACCTTCAAGTCTTTTGCCACTGACACTTTAGCCGGCATGGACCAAGCCATTGCCGGTGCCAGAGAGATGGCGCGGGGCATGTGAGTCTGGGGTAGAATTCAACTCTTCTTATTGTAACAAAAAACTCATTGGAGCTCGCTCTTTCAGTAAAGGGATGAAGCAAATAGGCTTAAACTGTAATGTTTGTGTCTTATATATGTATGTGGTGCATTTTGTTTATACGTGGAGTATTTTGAAACAAAAAGACAAGGGAAAAGAAAAGAAAATCGGCGGCACCCACCACCCACTCAAACATATGGTTTAGAGACTTTTTTTTTTTTTTTTTTTTTATGCTCATTCTCTCTCCCCGCTGAATCCTGTCTCTCGGCCAGTGCTCTATCTCTCTGCCTTTTTCTTTTTCTTTTTCCTTTACAACTTGAATCTTTGATTAATTCATCATCTCTTGGTAGATTTGGGTGCCGTTTGAGGCAAAACGAAGCTTGTGTCGAGCTCTACGCATCCATACCAACAATTTCAGATTTGGTGCACCCTTTGAACTTCGAAATTTGGGACCCATTTTCTAGGGTTTGCTCATTTTTGAGGTAGGGGCATCTTAATCCACTCTCTTCTTGTTCCATTGTGAGTTATGCTTTTTTTTTTTTTTTTTTTTTTTTTTTTGTTATGCTAGACATGCTAAATTTGAGAATTAATTGCTTCAATGAGGTGTAAGTGATGTTTAGAGAAAATTCATGTCTTAGGGTTATGACTTGTCTATGTGAAAAGCATGTATAGATGATGGTTTTGTGGTATTTTTTGTGAATTACACCTCTTTTATGTGCTAACATGCTTTACTTGGGGATTAATTGTGTTAATGATTATTTTAATGTTGTCTAGAGAAATGTATGTTTATGCACATGTGATGTATTATGTGAAAAGCATGCCTATGTGTTGAGTTTATGTCTACTATGTGTAAACTTGCTGAAAGGGATGTATGAGACCATGCTTAATTGTATTGTGCCAAAATTTCACATTGTCATGATATTGAGATTATATGTACATTCTTGGACATGTCATTGGGATGCATGAAATGGGAGAATTTGTCTTGAAATGAAAATGAGGAATTTTTGGGAGATGATAGTTTTTGTGAAATGGTTTTGATAAACTCGGTCGCTGCGGGGTTACCAACGGGTCAGAGGTTAATATAGCCTAGAGGGGACTGGGGAGTCGCCCTAGTGTGGTTGAGCTAGCTGGGCCCCATAATGACGCCGCGGGGTTACCAAGGGTCAGGGACACTAGCCAATCCTCCTCTCGTGTCGCGGCGGGGTTACCAAAGGGCGGGCTGTATTAACGTTTGAAAGTGATGGTTTTGAGAATGAAAATAGGGAGTGTCATTGACATGCATTGCATTTCATTGCATTGCATTGCATTGTTTATAATTGGAATTGAATTGTATGTTGTATTTGATCCCCTACGTTGTATGATCCCTATCTCCCATTGGCCTATACTTTGCTTGAATTCACAAGGACACAAGATTTGTGTCTTAAGTGTCACCTACTGAGCATATAGCTCACCCTACTATTTATACATTTTTTTCAGGTCTTGGAAAAGAACCGGTGGACGACAACCCACCTCAAGCTTGAGCGATACTAGAAGCTCACTTTTGTGTCTTTTGTATGTCTCCCATTATTTTTTTTTGCAAAGCACTAAAAGTGTGAAGGTGTATATGTATATTTTGCAAAACTTTGTCATATAATGTAATTAAGGTATTTGATGATATTTTGAATGTGAATTTGATAACATGTAAACCTTATTGATGAATGGGGAGAGTAATACTAGTTTGAAGTATTATTGAGGTCATTTGATTGTGTATTATCATCTATTATTGCCGTGAATTCGGAATTTGAGCCACGACAGGTTAAAAATGCAATTAAACAAATTGTGATAGGCTTATTTTTAGGGAAGGTCATGCCGAATTTTTTTTTTTTTATTTAAAAAATATTAGTTTTGAGACGTTACATAAACATATCAAGAACTGATGACTACTCTCCGAGGGACTTCTTTGGACATGGGACACACACATCATCCACTGCTGCTGGGAACCCAGTTGAAGGTGCCAATTACTTTGGTTATGCAGAAGGAACAGCAATTGGGGTTGCACCAAAAGCCCGGCTTGCCATGTACAAGGTTCTATTCCTCACCGACACCATCAAGTCTGCTGCCACTGACACGTTAGCCGGCGGCATGGACCAAGCCATAGCTGATGGAGTAGATCTCATGTCATTGTCATTGGGATTCAGAGAGACGCCTTTTGATGAAAACCCTATTGCAGTGGGAGCTTTTGCAGCCATGGAGAAAGGGATTTTTGTGTCTTGTGCAGCTGGGAATGCTGGTCCAAATGGTTTCACCATAGACAATGGAGCTCCTTGGATCACAACTGTTGGTGCTGGGACAATCGATCGCGATTATGCAGCTAATGTTACATTTGATGATGAGGCCTTCACTGTTGGAGGAAAATCTGTCTACCCATTAGACTTGTCAGTGTCTAGGGTTCCAATATACTTCGGCCAAGGGAATAGAAGCAAAGAAATTTGCGGCAATTATTCTCTTGACCCAAAAGATGTTGCAGGGAAGTTTGTTTTCTGTGACTTCATTGATGAAGATTCAGGAGTCAATACGTTTGAAATAGAAAGGACAGGAGCTGCTGGAGCAATCTTTAGTACAGACTTCCAAAGATTTCTTAAGCCAAGTGATTTCAATTTTCCATTTGTGGCAGTAACCCCAAATGATGGAGATTTGATCAAAGACTACCTAATCAAAACAGAGAACGCAACCGTTAGCACCAAATTCCAGATAACAGTGTTGGGTACTAAGCCTACCCCTATCGTGGCGTGGTTCTCATCAAGAGGGCCAGATCGCAAGTCTCCATGGATACTAAAGCCTGATATTTTAGCTCCTGGGGTTGATATTTTAGCTGCATGGGCACCCAATATAGGAATTGCACCAATAGGAGACGACTATTTGCTTAGCGATTTTGCACTCCTCTCTGGCACTTCCATGGCCTCTCCCCATGCAATTGGTGTAGCGGCGCTTCTAAAAACACTCCACAAGGACTGGAGCCCAGCTGCCATACGATCAGCCATGATGACGACTGCTTATGTGATTGATAATGCTAATGGCCCGATCATTGACATGACCACTGGAGTTGCTGGGACTCCTCTTGATTTTGGGGCAGGACATTTCAACCCTGAAAAAGCAATGGATCCTGGTCTTGTTTATGATATAGAGGTGCAGGACTATATCAATTACTTGTGTGGAATGGACTACACAAGCAAACAGATTAAGATCATCACCAGAAGGTCGAATTTTAGTTGCGATCAATCCAGTCTTGACCTTAATTACCCATCTTTTATTGTTATCCTCAACAACACTAACACTATGAGTTACACCTTTAATCGGGTCTTAACAAATGTAGTAGATGGTCCCTCCACTTATCATGCAGTGGTGAAGGCTCCGTCAGGAATGGATGTTGTTGTGCAGCCCCCGGTAGTGTCCTTCGCTGGAAAGTACAGTAAAGCTGAGTTCAACATAACGGTAGAGGTCAATGTCGAATATGCTAGTCCACAGAGTGATTCCATAGTGAATTATGGGTATTTAAGTTGGAATGATGTTAATGGAACTCATATGGTGAGAAGTCCTATTGTTGCTTTCTATGCACCTTAAGTAAGAGGTACATAACCATTTTATCTTTCCAGACATATTAGCCATATTGCAGATTTATTTTTTGTGAGTATTGATTTGGAATAATGTTAAGGGCTATCATGTGATGAAAAGTCCTCTTGTTGCTACCCATTCAGCTTATTTAAAAGGTGTATAATCATTTATTGTTCAAGACCTATTGGCCATATGCCATAGTGCTCATTTGTGGGTATTTACTCTCCAAAAATTTAATGGGACTCATGTAGTGAGAAATGTGCCCATTATGTAATTTGTAAGGTACTTAACAATTTATGCTTTTCTTAGAGGACCAGGTTAAATTTTTATCTTTTCATTTTTCGTGCACGGTGTATTTTATGTGTGACGACAAGTGCCACAAAGGTTTCGTAATTTATTTTAGGCATTTTTTCGAGTCACGAACTCTTAAAATTGCATTTAGAGTCATTTTATTCATTTTGGGTTTGTGGGCTCAAGAGGTTCCCGTGTGGATTCGGGTGGAGATTTCGAGTTTGAAATTTTTTCCCAACTTCAGTTTTATTATTAAATTGTGTTTGGGCACTAAATTTCTTTTATTTTGTGTAGCCTTATTATGTTTGTGCATATTTGTAAAGAAAAGATTGATTCAATAGATATTTTCACGCTTTTAGTGGTGGGATCCAAAGCCCACTAACCTTATTTTTTATTATTTTTTATTTTTTATTTTTTATTGGAAATATCAAAGCCCACTAACCATCCCTGCTATATAATAGAGATCGATTCAATGAGTCACTGCTTACAAAGTGGACAACTATATTAAAAACGGAGGTAGTACTTTAGACAAAGTTATCATCTAGCAAGCTTTGGAATTTTTTTTTTTTTAGTTAAAAGGTAAGCATGCAAGCTTTGGATTTTGCCAAGGCCATAGTTGAAGAATTAAGTTAGAGAGCTCGTCAAGGGCTACTCTTAGGTTGTCTTGAATTGCGATTTGGTGGAAGTTCATCTTTAAGCAAATTAGGGCTTTCGACTCCCATTGAGGTAAGGGTGTGTTCAACTAGCATTTTCTCTTGCTCTATAAGTAACTTAGGTGATTTCCTTGAATTAAGCATGCTTGTGTAAGTCAATTTTGTTTAAATTGCATGTAAGTATACTTATATGATGATGCCTAAGCTAAAACTTGAGAAAAAGATGATGAATGATGAATTAAGTACTCTTGAAGTTGAAATTGTACCATAGCACGTATGAATGTAGTAAATGGGGTTGTTCGAATGAAATTTTTAAGGGCCTGTTTGACTGATTTTAAGGGACTGTTTGGTTGATTTTAAGGGGTTGTTTTGCTGAATTATTAAAGAGTTGTTTTGGCTGATTTAAGGGGTTGTTTGGTTGACTTTAAGGGGCTGTTTTGCTAAATTTTTAAAGAGCTGTTTTGGCTGATTTACGGGGCTGTTTGGTTGATTTTAAGGGGCTCTTCTGTTTATTTTTAAAGGACTGTTTTTGTTGATTTTAAGGGGTTGTTTTGTTGATTTTTAAAGGACTCTTTTTCCTTATTTTTAAGGGAGTTGCAGCATGTGTAAATAAGTTAAAGGGTCTATTTAAATGAATTTTTATAAGGAGCTGTACTATTCCAATTGTTATGAAATTTTTACCACAAGTTCCTATACCTGTCTAGTACCTCTCAAATAAATTTTGTAAATTTTGTACAGTTAGTTATTTTTATAAAAATCCGAGAATAGCTGTTGTCCAGTTATCACAGTTTGAAAACTGATTTTTGACAAACTTAACGAATTTTATTTTAGGGGTTGGCTTGCTCGAACTGCAACGATTTTTTTTTGGAACTTCTAGTGTGATTTTATTCCACCTCATAAAATTTTGATAATTTTAGACCATGTAATTATTTTTTAAAAAATATAACATTACCCGTTGTCAGTCTTTTTATTGCCCTTGGAAATCAGATTTTGGATAATTTGTTTCACTAACATCTTGATGCTGAATCGTGGAACAATTTTCCAGTTTTATACTCCCATGTGTCTATTTTCAAAATAAATTTATTTTGTTCAAGTTGGATGTCAAACAAATTTTCTACAAATTTTAGAAGTATTGCCGTCAGATTTTCTTCTAACTAAGGACCACTGTATTTCTTTTGAAAACTGATTTAAATGGGGAACATTTGGCTTTCGTGAGAGGTTAAGCGATGTTTGCTCAGTAAATTATCATATGAATTGGATTGCCTATGGTGATAACCTTACTGTCATTCCTAGTATGAGTATAATGTTGTATATGAGCATTTTAAGTTCACTTGTTATTTATGATGTCAAGAGATTGATTTTATGCCAATGAGAAAGCTATCTTAGTTATATTGTATATATATATATATATATAATGAGGCATGTGGTTTTATAAATCTTTGAAAGAATTGATGGTTATTGATCTAACTGGTGAAGTTAATGTTAATCATCCTATCACATGCATAGTGTGAGTGTGTGGTGGTGTATCTGGATGAAAGTTGATTTGTGTTTGTAAGTTTGTGCAGAAAGGCTTTTCAAAACCCGGCATTGAGAAACGGGCCTCATATTCGAAGGTGTTACCTAGTTAATAGGGGCATGGGGAGTTACCCGTGTGCAATTTAGTGACTCGGGCCCCAAATGGTAGGGGGATGGAGGGAGGTACCCAAAGTCCACCTAGTTAGCATGGTTTCAGTGTGTGTGTGGGAGTGTGTATTACATGTGTGAGTTGTGTGTGGAGTCATGATGCATAAGCATGCATTCTAGTATGTCATTGAATTATGTTTTTCCTTAGAATATTTCTACGTTTAATTTGAACATGATAGTATATACTAACACATGAAATTTTCTTAACTTGTATTATTAAACGTGAAGCCTTATAAATCTAAATTCCTAGCATGAGCTGTTGGCTGTGTTAGTGTGTTTCAATAAATGTACGTTGTTATTTGAAAACTTGTTGAAATATGTATCTATAAGGTTACGGTAATTTGGAGCATGATTACTTTGTACAGTGTGTATTACTTTTTTATGTATTTATTTGAGCATGACTTATATGGCATTAGGAGGTGTTAGTTGGCAACTATCTACTGAGCAATGTAACCTCACCCCGTTGAAATTAACATTTTAGGAAAGGAACTTGCTATTGAAGATATGTCTCAATCTCAGTCTCGAAGTATCTTATTGAAGTTTATTTGGAAGTATATTGGTGTTGCTAGCATGTTGATGTGGTAGTTTTGTTAAACTTGATTACCATGTAGGCAATGAGATTTATGATGTGCGATGTTTCATAATTTTTTTATTTTTCGGATTATTTTATTTGTGTGCCTCGTTTTGCGTGTCATGTACCGGTTAGCTTACCACGAGAGTTACGAAAGTGAATTGAGACATTTCTTTAACTTTAGAATTCTTATAAATGTATTTTATTCATTTCGTCATTTTTTGAATTTTTGGTCCAGGAGGTCCCGAGCGGGTCCCACGCCCGGAATTGCGTGTCCGGAAAATATTTTTTTGGACTTAATTGCATGTTTTATATATTATTTGATGTATCTGTGAGGGTACATTTGGGTTTTTACATGTTGATGGCATATTTGTTGTATATATGCATGATAGGGGCAAATTAGACTTTTTGGGGTCAAGGGTGGACCCCCACTTTGACAACACATGTGGTGTAGGGGACAAGGGTGCATTTTTTCTGCAGAATCTCCTCTCTCCACCTGGCCTATTCTTCTTCTTCTTCTTCTTCTTCTTCTTCTTCTTCCCTTTTCCTCCATCATTATACACCATTGTAGCTCAAATTAAGCTCAATTTTGAGTACTTTCTTGGAGGATTTTGACCATGGCATAGAAGGAAAAACTTTCTATTTGATGAGAACTTTCATTTGATACCAAAAACAGCCCCTATAGGCCACTTCCAATTTTTGGCCTCCCCTTGGTATTGTGATTTTGTTGAAACTCCAAGAGGAAAGTTTGTTCCTCTTGTCCTCCTCTCTCCATTGGCGTAACTAGCTTGCATTTTGGAAGACATTAGCACTTGTTGCAAATTAGAGTTTGAACTCCAAAGAGGTAGAGTTATCTACCTTGCATAGTCCTTTAGTTTTGTAGTCAAAATCATGTTTTTCCCTAATTTTTACGTTCTAATTTAATGTCAATTGTATAAAAGCATTTTAGCGTTTTATGTATGTCATAATCATTGGCAATTGGTGTTGATATGTACGTATGTAGTTATATGTTCCTAAATAATTGTACGATGATTCATGCTAATTGATTTTATATGTGAGAATGTGAAGGATAAAATTTGTGATGTATGATTTTGATGATGTATAAAATGTCATGTGTTGTACAATTGCTAATGTGAGTATTTAATTGTCAAATTTATGTGAAGTTAGAATTGTTATTATGAATTGATAATGATGACTATTGTAGCATATTATACATTGTAATCATGACATTGATGACATAGCATTGTCATTGAGCATTTTGTATGTTATGAGGAAATGTGGAATGTGAAAGATGAATTTTGAAAAAGTTTTGATGAACGGTTTTTCCTAAACTCGGTAGTTGGGGAGGTACCCATTTGCTAGCGGTGCTAGCTAGTTAATAGGGACACAGAGGTACTCGTGAGTAATTTAGCGACTTCGGGGCCCCAAATGGTAGTTGGGAGGTACCCTTTGCCAGGGACGACTAACAAATTCTCCTTAGGGACGGCGGAGGTACCAAATTCCGGCTAGTTAGCACATTTTTGGTGTGGTGGGTGGATATGCGAAGGTGTATGTATGGTATGCGTTTACATAAGTCATTTCATGCATTGCATTACTTTAAATAGTTAATGATAGATTACTTGTTATTTGTTGATGATGTGTGATCCAAGCATGATCCCCATTCCCCTACTTTATTCCTTGATGTGTCTAAGCATGTATTTTCGTTTACTTAATTTTAGGAGATATCATTTAGGCAATCTCTGTTGAGTCGTTGTGCTCATTCATCTATTTAAAATTTTTTAGGAAACGGGAAAGAAGTTATGGACGAGCCACAACTTCATATGTGATGACATTGAGGACCTCCTTTTTGTCAACTAGACGCTTAGCCTCTTTTGAAGCATGTAATATTTGATGTTTTGGGAATTGTAATGATACCTGTAATTATATTGCCACAAACTTGTATTTAATGGTTACTTGTATGTACTTTGTGGATAGA